TCCCCTTCACCTCCTACCCCGCTCTGCTGCTATTCGATCCGTCCTTACCCAGCATTCTTCCACTTGGAATGCCCTGGTCACTGCTGGTGGACAGTAAGGACGACATCCTAACATTAATCTTCCTGGGAATTAATCGTGTCTAGTTCGCCACGAGAATTCTCACATTAGAATGATTCATCCAAAAAAAAAAACCACGCTGTTTCGCGACCTGAATATTGTACAAGTGATTTCAAATGAGTATGGGTTTTTTTTAATATTGTGGTATATATTCATGAGTTTCGGGGTAGAAGTTGAGTTGTTTTCCAAACACTCTGCACCTGCAGCTTTCTGTGTGTTGTATTCTCACTTATGTTATTATTGTTGCATCCGTTGAGAATGCAAGCTCGTGTAACCTCATGACGAGACAGAATGTGCCAATCTTGTTTCTAACAATGCTTCAGCTCTGCTTTGGGATTACTCGCATTCGTTTGAGAACAAGGACTGATGTGGTCACTTGGGAGCTGAGAAAAAATCCCTAGGATGTGTTGAGAATGCCGGAAGAATGAGTATGTGGGGGTGGGGGAGGGGTGTCATTTTCATGACTTCTGCAGTTACTGTATTCTTGATGGAGTGATGAGAAGACTTGGGAGGTTTTTCGAAAAAGGCTTGGGAAGGGGGCGCGGCGGTAGGATAGTGGTTTGATAAGCGGACAGATCAAGGGCGTTTGATACAGACTGGTTATTTTTAACTCTTTCTCATGGCATGGCTACAACGAACTCAGCAAAAACAAGCTGTCAAGGAAAAAAACCCGTCAGCAAAAAAGAAACAAAAATAATTTCGCCATCCCATAATAGCACCGTTTTTAGTTTATAACTGAACACAAAAGAAACAAAACGGTGAAAACGAAAATAAGTAATTTCACCATCCCATCTAACAGCTATTTTCTTTTTCTTTCCCAGATTATTCGAGCAGAGAGAGAGAGAGAGAGAGAGAGAGAGAGAGAGAGAGAGAGAGAGAGAGAGAGAGAGAGAGAGAGAGAGAGAGAGAGAGAGAGAGAGAAGGAAGTGTGAGCCAGCACGTTTCAGCAGTTGTGAGAGCCATCGATTTTCTTATTTGTCTCCAGCTGAGGACTTCTCACTGTATCACTTGTGTGCTTTTTTCTGGGAAATATTACGTACAACCTGAGTTTGGTGGCTTTCTAGATCTAGATCTAGGTCTCTAAGTAAGGAATTTCGAGGAACACTGATTTCATATTTTTCAGAACCCTAGAACTGAAGGTTTAGGTTTGATTCTTGAGATGAACACCGCCTGTAGTATTGTTATATCAATAAAGCAATTCGTGGTCTGCTGCGCCATCCGTAGCTTAATCAGCATTCATACAGTTAATGTGAAACATTAAGAACTTAGGTGAAAAATTAAGTGTGGTTGTCTAGTTTGCTGCTGCTGCTGTTGTTGTCGTTGTTGTTATTGTTGTTGTTGTTGTTGTTGTTGTTGTTGTTGTTGTTTGTGTTGTTGCTGTTGTAATTCTTGTTTCTCTAGGTTGTTTTTATGTATAATATTCGAACGGTTTGCATGATATTGTGCTCAGGAGTTTTGGCTCCATCACTTTCGACGAATCGTTGTTATGAATACCTCCCATTTGTTGAGGTATTGTGGTGTGATGTGATGTGTGTGTGTGTGTGTGTGTGTGTGTGTGTGTGTGTGTGTGTGTGTGTCTGTGTGTGTATGTGTGTGTCTGTATTTGTGTATGTGTTTGTGTGTGTGAGTGTGTGTGTGTGTGTGTGTGTGTGTGTATTTG